CTACCCTCACAGACACAACATTCCCAACAGAGCTCACAGATACAACCGTAACAACAACACTCACAGAAAATACATTCACAACAGCAACTTTCACAGACACAACCTCATAGATATAACCCTTAGACACAACATTCACAACAACTCTTACAGACCCAACCTCACAGACACAACATTCACCACAACAACCCTTGCACATACAACCCTGACAACAACACTCACAGACACTACCCTCACAGATACAAAATTCACACCTCTTACAGACCCAACCTCACAGACACAACCCTCACAGACACATCATCCACAACAACAACCCTCACCGACACATCATCACAATCACACAACAGTGCGTCACCTAGCGCAAGTTTCTCCGCTATCACGAGGGCAGTGATAATGACCGCGGGGGAGGGAGTGGTGGCATAGTGGTTGGCGCACTGCTCTATTGATGAATGATCCAGTGTCTCAAACGGGACCAAGAATGGTTTAGTTCCTTCTGTCGATTACCGGAGCATGGAGCCACGCGTCTAACGGAAAAGCTCTTCCGTCGAAGACCCAAGTGCCGAGTGACAATCGCCCGGTAGGCGATGCACGATCTTTAAATAGACGCGCTGCACGTACACGTTGGACATCTGGCCACGATCGTTTTAGTTTCCATTGCACATATGTTTGTGTAAACGCGCGGTTGTGTGCCCTGACTGGGTTGATCATCGTTCTATCTCCGGGATGCGGTGTCGGTTAGGGAGCTCGGTCCTTGCCCCAGCGCGCCCGTCTTAGACTCGATGGAGTCTTTGTGAGAGTGCACGCCGTGTGGTCAGGCAGACATCATCCCGCAAGCCTCGTGCCAACTCGGCCTTAAACATCGCTCGCTCAGCTGGCTCATGAATTCTGCCGCAGCTGAGAAAACGCTGCTGCTGTAGCTGCTCCGATGATTGGGATGGCGGGGTGGGGGGACCACGCGAGCCAGAGCCCGGGGATTTAACCCAAACCCGTCGCGTCGCCCCATCGACACGCGCCGAGAGCCTCCACGCGGAGCCGCTCATTCCCACGCTCGAGTCTGGCGCTCCGCAGCCACGGCGAGCGCTGGCCCTGACCACCGTCCCTGACCCTGTTCCCTGGGCTAGGTGAGCCAGACACGCGGCGATGGTGAATCGCGGCCCCCGTGCGTATCCCGCAGTGCGGAGGCCGGGATGAGCGTGGCCACCACCTCGGCGAGAGTCGCAGGAAAGAGGCCACTCCGACTCTTGCCGCCACAGACAACGCAGCAATCAACGTCCACTGGTCTGGGATCCAACCGAGTTCTGACCGAGCACGGCTGAGAGTGCCGCTAGCTGCGCTCTGCCTTGCATCGCCGTGCGTCAGGGGAGCGACGCGCACAGCGGGGGGACTCGCAGTGCCATCAGAGCCGCGCTGCGAGGATGGCGCAGGGCCTCGGACGATCCCCGTGAACCTCGAGCGTGCCACGTTCCCGTGCCCCGAGGCTCACTCCCCCCGCGTCAAAGCTGCGACCCAAATCACACTCACGTGTTCCCTCTCGATCGGCGATCTACCGCACGTCTACTCATCTGTCCCTAGCTTTAGATTTAAATGCATAATACACTTTATTTTCCCATCCTTGCCCAGTACAAAACTCCCTATAGCTCACGGGTCGGCAACGAGAGGAACGCGCAGCCCGAGGGAGGCCGCGCGTCGCTGGCTGTCTCACGCCACGAGTGAGACGAAGGCGACTCTCCAACTTCTCACGCCACGAGTGAGAGGAAGGCGACTCTCCAACTTCTCACGCCACGAGCGAGACGAAGACGACTCTCCAACTTCTCACGCCACGAGTGAGACGAAGACGACTCTCCAACTTCTCACACCATGAGTGAGACGAAGGCGACTCTCCAACTTCTCACGCCACGAGTGAGACGAAGGCGACTCTCCAACTTCTCATTCCACGAGTGAGACGAATACGACTCTCCAACTTCTCACACCACGAGTGAGACGAAGACGACTCTCCAACTTGTCACGCCACGAGTGAGACGAAGACGACTCTCCAACTTCTCACGCCACGAGCGAGACGAAGATGACTCTCCAACTTCTCACGCCACGAGCGAGACGAAGACGACTCTCCAACTTCTCACGCCACGAGTGAGACGAAGACGACTCTCCAACTTCTCACGCCACGAGTGAGACGAAGACGACTCTCCAACTTCTCATACCACGAGTGAGACGAAGACGACTCTCCAACTTCTCACACCACGAGTGAGACGAAGACGACTCTCCAACTTCTCACGCCACGAGTGAGACGAAGACGACTCTCCAACTCCTCACGCCACGAGTGAGACGAAGACAACTCTCCAACTTCTCACGCCACGAGTGAGAAGAAGGCGACCTCCAACTTCTCACGCCACGAGTGAGACGAAGACGACTCTCCAACTTCTCACACCACGAGTGAGACGAAGGCGACTCTCCAATTTCTCACGCCACGAGTGAGACGAAGACGACTCTCCAACTTCTCACACCACGAGTGAGACGAAGGCGACTCTCCAACTTCTCACGCAACGAGTGAGACGAAGGCGACTCTCCAACTTCTCACGCCACGAGTGAGACGAAGACGACTCTCCAACTTCTCACGCCACGAGTGAGACGAAGGCGACTCTCCAACTTCTCACGCCACGAGTGAGACGAAGACGACTCTCCAACTTCTCACGCCACGAGTGAGACGAAAACGACTCTCCAACTTCTCACGCCACGAGTGAGACGAAGACGACTCTCCAACTTCTCACGCCACGAGTGAGACGAAGACAACTCTCCAACTTCCCACGCCACGAGTGAGACGAAGACGACTCTCCAACTTCTCACGCCACGAGTGAGACGAAGACGACTCTCCAACTTCTCACGCCACGAGTGAGACGAAGGCGACTCTCCAACTTCTCACGCCACGAGTGAGACGAAGGCGATTCTCCAACTCTCAAGTTGATTTTCGGGCAAGACGACAAATTACTCCGGTGACGTCATTATTGCGCAACTCGCGCGCGCTTTGCCTCGCACAGAGAACGGCGCCGCTGGGGGCGCTGCCAGGAGGACGCGCGGCGCCTCCTGGCACAGCACGGGCGCGCGATCCTCGTTCCGTCTCTCTATGGTCATCGAACGCTCAACCCCTGCTCACCCCTGCTCACCCTTCCCTAGCCACGCGTGCGAGCGTGTGGTGTCTCACAGTAGAGCGCGGTCACGGTCACTGCTAATCCACCCACCAGCATGCGTCCCCCATCGGGGCTCCAGGAGCCCATCGTTACTACCGAGATCGATAAAACGACGCCACTCTGTTTTCGAGTCGTCGTCCAATGGCATGGCGCGGTGTGGCGTGGTGTGGCATCGCGCGGGGTGGCGTGGTATTGCGTGGTGTGGCGTGGTGTGGCATCGCGCGGTGTGGCGTGGTGTGGTATTGCGTGGTGTGGCGTAGTGTGGCATCGCGTGGTGTGGCGTGGTGTGGCATCGCGCGGTGTGGCGTGGTGTGGTATTGCGTGGTGTGGCGTGGCATCGCGCGGTGTGGCGTATTGTGGTATTGCGTGGTGTGGCATGGCATCGCGCGGTGTGGCGTGGTGTGGAATTGCGTGGGGTGGCGTGGTATGGAATCGCGTGGTGTGGCATCGCGTGGTGTGGCGTGGTGTGGCATTGCGCGGTGTGGCGTGGTGTGGCATCGCGCGGTGTGGCGTGGTGTGGCGTCGCGCGGTGAGGCATAGTGTGGCATTGCGCGGTGTGGCGTGGTGTGGCATTGCGTGGTGTGGCCTCTCCTGCGCATCTCGTTCGTGCTGCGGGAAGCGCAGTGCGAGGAGCGCGCTCCTCATTAGCGGCCCGTGGTGTGGGCGCAGTGACGCGAGTGCACGCATCTCCCTGACGAGGGCGAAGGGAAACGTGCGAATGGGTGTCCTCGCTGGACTGGGGAGCGTGGGGGGAGGGGCTGGTATCACTGTGGGGGGCAGCCAGAACCCGCAGCAGACACTGGGCATGAGCTCTGAACGCGTGACACGAGTGAGCACGTGGCTTGTGGAGAGAGATAGGGAGACGGGAATGGCAGTGAAGTCGGGAGCCACTCCCGCAGCCTTCCCCATTCTACCATAAGCAGCGCCACCCCCTTGCTCTGTAAACAGCGCAGCAGCCAATCAGCATCCCCGAACAACATCAGCCCTTTCCACACACCGAGTCTCATCCTCTCCCCGAACCCTAACAACCCCACCACTAACTACAACAACTAATTATCACCCCTAACCTTTCTCATCCCCATTATCTCCGATGGTGGTTAAGTCACATCGCATTAACACGGCCGCCATAATCGCACCGCCAGGTGCCAAGACTCACGGCGATTGTCTGCCGCAGTGTGTTTGGGTGTTTGTGTGTTTGGGTGTTTGTGTGTTTGGGTGTTAGGGTTTTAGGGTGTTTCTCACAGCCGATGGGAAGAAGCGAGGTACGGGCAGTGCACCCCTCGTTGTGACGGGTGTGTGACACCCTGTGATGTGTGTGAGTGACACGATGTGGTGTGAGTGAATGTGACACACTGTGATGCGTGTGAGTGACGCGCCGTGTCCTCTGCACGCACAGTCCCGCTCCGCGCGGATCTCTGCTGCCCAGCCACATCGTTGCGGTGACGGTGGCGCGCATTGCGGTGAATCGCGTGACGCGGGGCCAGCAGCTGCTGCTACAGCAGTCCTGAAGCTGCTGCTGCTACATCAGCCCTGAAGCTGCTGCTGTAGCAGCGCTGAAGCTGCTGCTGCGCTGCCTATGAACGCGCGCGCTGCTTTCAAAGTCAAACTCCGGGGCCAATCGCCGCGTCGCGTGGTGACCATCCCGGCCACGGGCGTGCGAGGGGACCGCGCGTTCCGGAGCGATCGCCTCACACCCCCCCACACCCACCCCGGTGTGCGCCGCGACCCCCAAGCCGTTTCAGCTCCTTACCCAGGAACCCCCCTCGCCCTCCCGCCGCCTGACGGACGCGGTCACCGAGCCACCCCCCCCCCCCCCCCGTGTGATCTCGACGCGGTCTCCTTCCCCCCCTGCAACGCCGCTCCGTGGTCCTCGTGGCGCGGGTACGCGGAACGCGCGGCCTGACGAGCGCCGACCCCGCGAGACGCGCAGCGCACCAGCGCAGTGCACCAGCGCAGTGCACCAGCGCAGTGCACCAGCGCAGTGCACCAGCGCAGTGCACCAGCGCAGTGCACCAGCGCCGCATCACCAACAGGGCAGCCCTACCCTGGGGGTCCCCTCCCTTCACGCCGGCACTTGCGCACGCAGAGCCGGCGTGAAGGGGAGGGGGGCACTGGCCGTGCCCGCTCGGTGCCCGCTCGGAGCCAACTCGGCGCCGCCGCGGTTATGGCTTTTATATCGGGCTTTCATGTGGCGTTTTTGGAAAGACCTAGGATTAGACCTAGGAAATCGCGAGCCGTATATATGTATAAGCACGTCGCTGCGCATAGATTAAGTATAGTTCAAGTCAACAATCGCGTTCCTTAAATATGGTCGAGTTTAAAAACGCGGTCGGGTCGCGACACGTGCGGACGCCAGGGGAGGCGTCGCCGCGCCCCGTGGCGATGCTTGCATATAGAGAACAGTACACATACAGTACACACACAGTACACACACAGTACACGTACAGTACACATACAGTACACACACGCACCATGCGACTCGCGCGGCCACAGCGGCACGAGATGTAAACAGCGGCGACCCCACGGGCCCCGGTCTCGTTGTACGCGCGCCACGCAGCTCAAGCCGTGCCGGGCCACGTTGATGCCGGCGTTATCATTATTATTGTGACGACAACGATGCGGTGGACATCGTCACCGTGAGAATGACTCGTCCCGAGAGGCAGGCGTCGCTCCCTCCTCACTGCAAGTGGCGGGTAGCGCGTTCCGGTGGGGGGTGGGGGGGCTGCCCGGTCCGGCCCCACGAGGGCCCGCGGGGTCCCCACGCGGGCAGCGGTCGCGGGCCTGTGCGGGCCATCACACGTAGGCCGACTCGCTGGAGTGCGTGCGGCCGAACCCGACGGGGCCGCCCTGCGAGCGGATCTCGCCGATGGACTTGCGCCGCGCTTGCACCCCCTGCACCGCCTGCTTGATCTTGCGCCAGCCCAGGTGGTTGAGCTCGGCCAGGTTGAGGACGACGCAGAGGCCGCTCACGGCGAACATGAAGACGAGGAACACGGTCTTCTCGGTGGGCCTCGACACGTAGCACTCCACTTCCTTGATGCACGGGTATCTGTCGCACTCGAACATGGGCGGCACGTTGAAGCCGTAGAGGAAGTACTGCCCCGTGAGGAAGCCGATCTCGAGCGCGTTGCGGAACACCACTTGGATGATGTAGAAACGGGAGATGCCGTCCTGCCTGCGGCCCCTGAGCTTGCTCGTCCGCATCAGTGGCGTCGGGTGCATGATCTCCTTCACCTCGTGGCCCTCCGGCTCGCGGGACGAGTTCTCGGTGTTTTGCAGCAGGATGCCGTTCAGCATGGAGTTCTTGGTCTTCTTGCTGTCGTCTCGCTTCTCGGGCGAGAGGTCGTGCAGGATCTCCTTGTCCTGCAGCAGCAGCGCGTGCAGCACGGAGGAGCGCCGCTCCCTCGCCTTGGCCGAGTGGTGGAGCGAGTAGGTGATGAAGCAGAGGCTGGGCGTGCACACCATGATGATCTGGAAGACCCAGTAGCGGATGTGCGAGATGGGAAACGCCTTGTCGTAGCACGCCTGGTTGCACCCCGGCTGGAGGGTGTTACATACAAACATCGTCTGCTCGTCTTCGTAGACGGTCTCTCCCACAATAGCCACTATCAGGATCCGGAAAATAACCACGACTGTCAAGAGGATCCTAAGGCAGAGACACACAAGCGGTCTCCGTCACACCAGCACTACCACCAGCAGCCGCAGCAGTACCGGCAGCATCGCGGGCGCCCTGCACGCAACACTCGGCACGGTGTTAGCACGGAACGCGGCGCGCGTCAAAGTTTCCCTCCCCGCGACCCCGGGCGAAGCCGCGCCGCTCGGTGCGCGCGGAGCGGCGCGGCGCCTACCTGCCGATCATGGTGGAATGCTGCTGCACGGCAGCCTCCAGCAGTCTCTCGAGGATGGTCCATTCCCCCATCTTCACCCCGTGCCGCTCGCCTCAGCGCGGGCCCGAGAGTGCTGAGAGCCCGGCGCGCCGCCCGTGCCCGCGGCTCATCACGCAGCCCCCTCGCCTTGCCGCGGCATCGCCTCCCCGGGAGCCGCGCTGCGGCGCGACCCCCCACGACTCTGCCTCCTCCTCTCACTCCTCGATTCTTTCTCTCCTCGTCGCGTGCTCCTCTCCGCGCCGGAGCGCAGTGCCCGCTATGTGGGTCCCAGGTGCCACTCCGCGAGCCCCGAGCGCAGCATCGCGAGCCGGGCGAGGAGGGCACGGACTCCTCGCCAAGACTTCTTCATTGCGTCGCGCGGGGTTTATTCGGCATCGTTAGCACCAGCGCCGCTCCTCCTCCTCCTCGCCGCGTGTGCAGCGCCTGCAGTGTGCGCGGGGTGTGCGGAGCGCGCGTGCTGCGGGTTGGTGTGAGCCGGGCATTGCAAGCCGCGCGCTGCGCTAATTTTATCTCCGCGCCGCTCGCCTTGACGGAGATGAAAGTGACAGCGTCGGCGGCGGCGCCACGAGGGGGCACGGGGCGCGGCGCACAGATGTTGGGGGAGGGGCGGGGGAGCTAGGGGGGAGGGAGTGGGGGTGTTAGGTGTGTGGGGCGGGGGGGGGGCTAGGGGGGGAGGGAGTGGGGGTGTTAGGTGTGTGGGGCGGGGGGGGGCTAGGGGGGGAGGGAGTGGGGGTGTTAGGTGTGTGGGATGGGGGGGCTAGGGGGGGAGGGAGTGGGGGTGTTAGGTGTGTGGGGCGGGGGGGGCTAGGGGGGGAGGGAGTGGGGGTGTTATGTGTGTGGGGTGGGGGGGCTAGGGGGGGAGGGAGTGGGGGTGTTAGGTGTGTGGGGCGGGGGGGGCTAGGGGGGGAGGGAGTGGGGGTGTTAGGTGTGTGGGGGCGGGGGGGGGGCTAGGGGAGGAGGGAGTGGGGGTGTTAGGTGTGTGGGGGGGGGGCTAGGGGGGGAGGGAGTGGGGGTGTTAGGTGTGTGGGATGGGGGGGCTAGGGGGGGAGGGAGTGGGGGTGTTAGGTGTGTGGGGCGGGGGGGGCTAGGGGGGGAGGGAGTGGGGGTGTTAGGTGTGTGGGGTGGGGGGGCTAGGGGGGGAGGGAGTGGGGGTGTTAGGTGTGTGGGGCGGGGGGGGGTAGGGGGGGAGGGAGTGGGGGTGTTACGTGTGTGGGGGCGGGGGGGGGCTAGGGGAGGAGGGAGTGGGGGTGTTAGGTGTGTGGGATAGGGGGGCTAGGGGAGGAGGGAGTGGGGGTGTTAGGTGTGTGGGATAGGGGGGCTAGAGGGGGAGGGAGTGGGGGTGTTAGGTGTGTGGGGTGGGGGGTTGGGGGGGAGGGAGTGGGGGTGTTAGGTGTGTGGGGTGGGGGGTGAAGGAGCCTGCGCGGCTGTGTTCGCCGCAGCGAGAAGCCGTGCCGCGTGCTCCAAGCGAAGCGCGCCCAGTTGATTGAGAAGGGAGCGCGGCTCTCCCGCTACTTGGTCGCGATTCGACACGCGGAGACATTCACCGCATTACCGCCACGCCGGTTGCCCACCCCCCGTACCTCCCCCTCAGCACCTTCTGTACCTTTCCCGTCCACGCCAGCAGCAGGGCCCCTTGCATCCTGGCCGGTCTCCTCTTCCCCGAGCCTCTTTACCCCTCCCCCTTCCACCCAGCCCCGCACACCCCCCACCTCATCAGCACCCCCTTTCCGCTCTCCCACACAGCGCGTGGCGCATCGGCGAACTCAGATTCCTTACCCCCCCCAACTCTTACCCCCCCACCTCTTACCCCCCCCCCCACACCTATTCCAGCATCTCGCCTCCGGTGGTGGTCCTGCTGAAAGATCCACCCCACCCATAGGAATGTGGAATTTCCACCACCGGATCGGTGTTGTAAACAAGGAGAAGAGCACGCCTGTATATTCAGCTGAGCAGGAGGACGCTGTGGCTGGGTGGTGAGAAGCAGCCCGGCCCCGCTACCCCGGGGATTCATCTCGCGGGGCGCTCCCCGCCGCAAAGGGTGCGCGAGTGGAGTGGGGAGCGGTGGTGCAGTGGTTAGCGCACTGCGCGACGAACCCAGCGACCCGAGTATCATTCCCGCTCACGACCAACACCAATCACGATTATCTAGGTCGACTCAGTCTTAAATCCATCACCACTGGAGAGACAAAGGCGGCCGGACGTGGTGCTGACTAGCCACCCGCTCGTGCATCGTTCCGGCCTTCATAGGTGCTGCTCGCTCACAGCACTTGCTCCAACGATTTGCTAAAGCTGTGTCTTTGTGCGTGCGCTTGACGCATCCTGGCACGGTTTTACTTATATATTACATAATAGGATACCGTACTGCAATGCAATGGATGGGAATGACTGCAGACACAACGTGCACGTGAAATGAACGCTGGGATGAGGCGGGAGACAAGGATCATGCCGTGAAGTTGTGAGCCAGGGAATTATTTAAGGAATCCTGATTTATTCACGAGCGAGGCAGCGAGCTCCGAGATAAAAATAGAAACCGGCTCCTCCTCCTCCTCCTGCTGCTGCTGCGTCTCGCGTCCCCGAGCCGCGAGGCGCAGCAGCAGCACAGGGGGCGGGGGCTGTGGAGCGGCTCTGCAGGGGAGCGATGGAGAATCTATTGGTCTGTGAGGAGAGGTGCTCGTGTGTAGATGTGTGTGTGTAGTACACGTGTGTAGATGTGTGTGTATGTGTGCTACACGTGTGTAGACCTGTGTGTGTACGAGTGTGTATGTCGATGTGTGTGTAGACCTGTGTGTGTACGAGTGTGTATGTCGACGTGTGTGTAGACCTGTGTGTGTATGAGTGTGTATGTCGATGTGTGTGTGTGTGCGTCTCCACTGGGGAAAGGTGGCGGAGCAGTTTGCTCGATGTGTTACAAATCCGACGACCCGAGTTCGATTCCCGCTCACGGCCAACATCAGTAACTATCCGGTCCTGGACCTCCCCTAGGTCGACTCGGTCTCAAATGAGTACCTGGTCGGTTGTATAAACATCGATACTGGAAGACAAAGGCGATCGGGCGTGGTGGTGGCCACCCACCCTCTCGTGTACCTCAACAGGCTATCACAGGCTACAGTGAGATCTGTGTCTCTACTCGTGTGTCGTCGTCAGTCAGTACTCTGTGAGGATACAGCGTCACTGCGTCTGCATATGCGGATCAATGTCATGTAATCTCGACGCCAGATATCATTAATTACTTTCCATTTCTGCATTGGGAAAACAAAATCTGGCACCTCTTGAGCCGCGCCGGGCCAGCTCGGCACGGTCAAGGCGCGGCTCGGATGTGCCAGTGAAAAAGGGATGCGTGTGGCTGTACGGAGGCACCACATCATAAACATTATAAACGCTGCGCTCCGATTGGCCAAGCAAGGGTCCCTGGACAATGCATTCACACCGGGAGAGGAGGGGAGCCGTTGTGCAACGTCATTTACTGCAGCGATGTAACAATGTGCAATGTCTTTGAAGGTTACGATATCACCGGCTACAGCGCCTTAACTTGGAATTAGTTTTCAATTATTCATGACATTGGCGGTCTAGTCATAAAATACATTGACTGTGGGCAGGCAGCTGCACTGATTTGGAGTGGAGTCCCATCCAGGGAGGACTCTGTAATTGGGGATGCGCAGTGGGGGTCTGTGGTCGCGACAGGAACAGCCGGGGGGGGGGGGGGGGGTGTTGGGGCTTAGAGGAGGGGGGAGGAGTCTATGGTGGAGGTAGGGGTCGAGCTGGGAAGCGAGGGGCAGCGCCTTCGCAAAGGTCGAGGAACGCGGCTACAAACGGCTGCGCTTGAGGGGTTGGACCGACGGGTTCGCTGTGCAGCGCGGGGTGGGGGGCTCACGGGGGGAGGGGAGGGGGGGATAGGGCCCTGTCGCCTCCACTGCTACACGTGGTCTTTGATTGGGGACGGACGCAGCGTTGAGCAGTGCACCCCCCACCCCCCCCCCCCTGCGCGTGGCACCGCGCTCATCACTGCTGGAGACGCAGCCCCCGCGCTATCGCCGCCCGAGTTCGGCACGCGGCGCCGCGCTACTGCTGCTGCTCCGCACTGCGGCACATTCAGAACCCCCCCCCCTTCTCTTTCTCTCTCGAGTCCCGGGCTCTGCGATTCCACGAAACTGAGAACGCCGCGAGCCCCCGGTGCAACGCGCGGCTCGCGAGCACCGCGCTCTCCTCGCGCTCTGCTGCCCGCTCTCTCTCCCTGTGCGCTCTGTTGACTCCGTCTCCTCATTTGCATCTCCGTCTAAAAATAAACCCGAGGCTCCGCGTTGTCCGCGACTCCTCCGCTCGCTCCTCGCTCAGACTGCGCGCGGAGCGAGCGCCAGAGGCTCACGCACAGCGAGGCGCTGCTTGACCTGGCTGCTTGACCTGGCTGCTTGACCTGGCTGCATGACCTGTCTGCTTGACCTGCATAGAATGCTCCGTCAGCGCAGTTGGTCATGAATTAAGGAATGGAACAAAATAACCAGGACTGCGGTCGTCAGCAAATTAACTTACACGGCTATAGCATCGCTAGTGGCGTCGTCTGTGAATTGCACCTCTTATCAGTAACCCTGTTATCCGCGATATGACGGGTAATGAGATTGACCCTCGTGCGGAAAGCGTGTGGTGCATTCTGTGACGGAAAGGGTATTGCTTCACGATGTGCAAAACGCAGGGACATGAAACTCAGAACTGAATGAGTTAAACGCGATCATCATGATGCAACGTTAATAACATCACAAACCCGTTGGTAATCTGCTGCGGGATACGATGTCGGTCGTGGCGGTTGTTTTGACCATACTTCACCAAGCTGGTCAGTACTGTACTCTCAGAGTGTAGCTGCTGTAGTGAGGAACCTGAACGTGCCGCGAGCCCCGATCACAGCCCCACAGCGCGACAGCGGCTGTCAGCACGAGACCCCCTAGCCGAGTGGCACACACCGGGCTTTCACGGGTGTGTGTGTGTTCACGGTGTGTGTGTGCAGGGTGTTTGTGTGTTCACGGTGTGTGTGTGTGTGTGTTCACGGTGTGTGTGTGTTCACGGTGTGTGTGTGTGTTCACGGTGTGTGTGTGTGTTCAGGGTGTGTGTGTGTTCACGGTGTGTGTGTGTGTGTTCACGGTGTGTGTGTGTGTTCACGGTGTGTGTGTGTTCAGGGTGTGTGTGTGTGTTCACGGTGTGTGTGTGTGTTCACGGTGTGTGCGTGTTCCCGATGTGTGTTCACAGTGTGTGTGTGTTCACGGTGTGTGCGTGTTCCCGATGTGTGTGTTCACGGTGTGTGTGTGTTCAGGGTGTGTGTGTGTTCAGGGTGTGTGTTCACGGTGTGTGTGTGTGTTCACGGTGTGTGCGTGTTCCCGATGTGTGTGTTCACGCTGTGTTTGTGTTCACGGTGTGTGTGTTCACGGTGTGTGTGTTCACGGTGTGTGTGTGTTCAGGGTGTATGTGTGTTCACGGTGTGTGTGTGTGTTCACGGTGTGTGCGTGTTCCCGATGTGTGTGTTCACGGTGTGTGTGTTCACGGTGTGTGCGTGTTCCCGATGTGTGTGTTCACGGTGTGTGTGTGTTCAGGGTGTGTGTGTGTTCACGGTGTGTGTGTGTTCACGGTGTGTGTTCACGGTGTGTGTGTGTGTGTTCACGGTGTGTGTGTGTTCACGGTGTGTGTGTGTGCTCAAGGGGTGTGTGTGTTCACGGTGTGTGTGTGGTCACGATATGTGTGTGTGTGTTCACGGTGTGTGTGTGTCTTCAGTGAGTGTGTATGAGTGAGCGAGTCATTTTTCACAACGACAGCTCAACTGTCGGCCTTAACCCCCACTCCTCTTATTCACGATTCCCAGCAGATAAGAGGATGGATGATCGCGACGCCGCCTTTGTGTTCGCGACAGGAGGCCGATCTGTTGTGATTGGCGATGTTTACACCGCCTCCTTCTCCGTGGCCGAAAATCGCACCAAGGACGACACCTCGACTGACGAGCTGACATCGCTCCGAGCTCACCCCTGGCCGTGTTATTCCATTTGCGTTCGAGTGACAAAGTAAATTCAAACAATCGGAGCCCGGGTCGAGAGGCATCGCCGCGTCCCGCGCAAGCAGCTGGCCTGCACCTAAGGCAGGCAAGAGAATGAGAGGACGGGGAAATGCAGGAGAGAAGAAAGAGGAGAGGGAGCCACTGGGCGACAGATGACGAGGCCGGGTGCGATGACCGAGGCGGCAGCAGCAGCAGTGAGCCACCCCGCGTGGTGCGAGGCGTTTTGAGCGAGTGGTTGCGAGTGTGCATGCATGTAGGTATGTATGTTGACCTTCTTTTCGCACCCTGCGTAGCCAACCGTGCTAATGGTTGATGCAAAGGGAGCGCTGCAGCCGCGCTGCTCGGCTTCCCGGCTGGGCGAGCCACTGGACAGCAGCGGAGCGGGGCAACACTCCCCACCCGGTGCCTCGCGTCTCGCTGTTCGCGCTGTTCCCGATGACCACGAGAGGGAGGGGGCCGTGCTAAGCGGTCCGCGCTGTCTTTCAACTTGGGGGGCGCCCATTACCGAGCCCCGCACGTGACCATGGCCCTGTCGGGGCTCTGCCGACGTCTCGGTTCTCCCGAAGTGCCTCTCTAGAAGCCACCAACAACAATGACTGTGACCAAGAGCCCCGTGCTACATCTCCCATCGAATGAACACCGCGCACGCGTACCCCCCCCCCCCCACGCCACGCCATGTGTACGCGCGCCTACTGAAATCGGCGCGCCGAGCCGTCCCCCGTGCTAAACATGCAGCTCACACCTCTAATTGGCGTTATCTGTCGTGTGCATTAATTTGGCCGTCTAAGATTTTGAGAAGTAATTGGATAAACCCGCGCTTCGGAGCTCTGCGGGCAGTGCTGCTCGCTGCGGCTTTCGTGCCGCGTGTTATTCTCCCGTCGATATTTCTGCTCATTAACACCTCGTGGGTGGTGCAGTGCACACCGCGCGATGAACCCGGCTACCTGAGTTCCATTCCCAGCCACGGCTAACGTCAGTGGTGAGTCATCTCTGAATCTAAAGTGCTAATTAATTCAGGAAAGCCACACAGAGTAGCAGAACCATTTTTTTGAGGGGGGTCCTGCATTGGGGTTTATTTAAAGATGATTTCAGCCAATTTGACCAAAATGGTGAAGTATGGTCAAACAACTCCCACGACCAACACGGCAAGAGGAGGCCTTTACTCAGCAGTGGGTGGCACGGCAATTCCCGTGCCCGCAGCGCGCTGCCGAGCGAGCCTCCCGGTGATGTCCTCATTGTCGCGATACATGGGGACCAGGGGGCGCAGAGGATGATGTGGAACGTGCGGATGTACTGCAGCCGTTATCTGGCTTGACCACCTGAATGTGACATTGTGGTTGTTGCTCTGCATCTACGTCAGCAGCAGTCTCACGGAAGGGGAAGACTGCAGGCGTTTTGAGCGGCACTCGGCGAGACACGGAGTCGATCCCGTGGGCAGAAGTTGGCATCTGCTGTGCCGGGACTCCCGAGAGGCAGCGCCGGGCTCACCGCTGCTGCGCGGCAGGAGGTGATAAATGTCGCGGCATTTCTGTAAATGCTGCACTCGAATATCAACGTGAAACACCGCACCCGACGGTACAGCTGTCACGGGAGTTTTTTTGTTTTTACCGATTGTTGATTCGCATAACAGAGACGACTTTCGCCCACGGAAACATTTATGAGATTGAGCTCCTTCCTGGAGAAGGTAGCAGAGACGTCGCTTACTGCTGGCAGTTGGAATATTAAAGACGAGCCACAGCACTGCGATTGTGGCCATGCAACACAAGCTATGGACCACAGAGTGAACCCCTGTAGTCTGCGCTCCTTCAACGGAGGAGGAACAGCAAGACGACACGAACTCCATCTCTCTCTAAATCTTGACTTGCAGCTTTCGTGACTGCAGGAATGAATATTCTTTGGGTCTTTCGGTAAAGTCACGTAGATAGATTCAAATTAATAAAAATAAAATGAACAAAAAACTACGACGTTTCGATCACAACACATGACGATCGCTTGTGTTGTGATCGAAACGTCGTAGTTTTTTGTTTATTTTCTTTTTATTAATTTGAACCTATCGACGTGACTTTACCGAAAGATCCAAAGCATATCTCTCTCTGCTGAAGCCCTCTCGTCGTGGCGAGAAACAAACTTCGACATTGGCATCGAGCTCTTGAACACTCACACGCAAGAAGAGAATAGAATGTGATGCTGGCGGCATTCTTCTGGGTAGCTCTGACAGTCTGTGACTGTGTGTGTAGTTCCTACTTACACTAAGCAAGCAGGCAAGAATGTAACGATACATGTGATCGATGTATTAAAATGAATGATTAAATTCACGGTGCTTGTGTAGAATATAGTAATTTACGATTATATGCAATTGATTTGCAAAGTATATGCTAATGAGTGATGCTATGCTAACGAGACTGTAAAAATGAGACAATAAAATAATTGATGACCGGGTGCGATGATTCCCGAGTGGTGGCTGCTCATGGGATCACTGGCGGTGAAGCATCGCTCCGTGCCGACATCCATCGCACTGGACTCAAAAGCGGTTTGCCGCTTGCATCTCTAGCGCCTGTGAATGTGAATTGGAGTACCACGCGCTTCTGGGGATGGGGAGTTTCGTGATTGTATTTGAGCGGGGGAAGAGAAAGAGATAATTATCCTGGCCACACGGGGGGATGGAGGCGAGGTTTTGGTAAAATTGCAAATGACGTCACGTCACGAATTCCCAGTCGTGGGCAGGAGAGGGACCTCGAGGGGGGAAAACGCGGCGATGCATTCGGCGGTGCGATCGCCCGGCAGCGAGCTGGCATTGAGGGGAGGCTGCCCCGAGGGATTTGACAGAGGGCCGTGTTCGTTGGAGCGGAGAACATTGGAACGAGAGTAGAGGGAGATGGGAAGAGGTGGACAGAGTCCACGAAGGGTCTTGAAGAGGGCAAAGTGCTATGTAGAAGGGTCATTGTCCGAAACGTCGCCTATTGTATATATGAAACTACTTTTAAGGCCACACACTGTGAGTGTTTAGCTTGTGTTTTTGCACCACTGCCAACGCTGCAGCATCACTAAAACACATTGGGTTTGAAGTGACTGAGTTGACCTCGGAGTGGATTTGGAGCAACCTGGCGAGTGCGGTAACGTGGTTACCCGCACTGCCGATTAGAGTGGTTGGCTACGTACGGTGCGAAATAAGTTCAACACACATCAACATACACACGTCATGTGTACAGGCTCCAGCACGGTGCCTCGCGGCGGCACTCAGTGCCACTTCGGGGTTTTGAGGCGAGGGATTGAGGGATGCCGAACGAAGTTGCGATGGTCGAGGAGAGGCGATTAATGCGTACATGAGGTTCCTGGCGCAGGTGGAGCTGGAAAGTCGCTAAGGTGGAGGTGGAAGGTCCTGCAGAGTTGAGATGAATGTAGTGGCGATCAGGAGCTCAGGATCAGTGATTCCACCGAGGTTTCCAATGCCTTCTGCCAGGTCAAGATAAGAGTTCAGAAAGCTACGGATGACCACCAACAGACGAAAGTGATCACGAAAATATTATCATTATTTTCGGGAAAAGTAATGCATCAATCATGTAAATTCCATCTTCACCGAATTGTAACGTTCAGCAATTTAATTGCCTTAAGCTAAACACGAATAAACACATCGGCAATTACTGCGTAAGCCTGGCGAGTAATGGGCTACATTTTTTGCTGCAGGAAATGTAAATTGAAAGCGTTACAGATCTCTGCAGCGAGCCTTTGTGGCAGCAGTGCGAGTGGAGAGCGCCGGAGCGCCGAGCGGAGCGGCGGAGCGGAGCGCGCGAGATCGATAGCGGCTGTAAACCCGCGCGTGATCGATAGCGGCACACGGGGCGTGCGAGATCGATAGGGGCTCACGGGGTCAGCACACACACTCACACTCACACATTCACACACACACACGTGTACGGTCAGCACACACACACATTCACACACTCACATGCACGCATACACATGTACGGTCAGCACACACACTCACACATTCTCACACACACACACACGTGTACAGTCAGCACACATACACATGCACACAGTCAGCACACACACCCACACTCACGCACACAAATGTACAGTCAGCACACACACACACATTCACTCACTCACATGCATAGTCAGCACTCACACCCACACTCACACATTCACACGGTCAGCACACACACCCACACTCACAAATATGCACACAGTAAGCACACACATAAATACAAAAATCCCCCTTATAACCTTAACAGACTGTTGGGGCAAGTGCTATTAGCGAACACCTATGAAGGCCGGCACGGCACACGAAAGGGTGGGTGGCCAACACCACGCCCGTCCGCCTTTGTCTCTCTAGTGGCGATGTTTTTACTCACCGCACCAGGTACTCATTTGAGGCGACATTCACACACATATGCACATCTACAACAACTGCGCCTGTGCCAGGATATGTGCACTTTACACACGCACACATTCACACACCCGCCTTTGTCTCTCTAGTGGCGATGTTTTTACTCACCGCACCAGGTACTCATTTGAGGCGACATTCACACACATATGCACATCTACAACAACTGCGCCTGTGCCAGGATATGTGCACTTTACACACGCACACATTCACACACCCACTCACATATTCACACAGTCAGCACACACACAACGACCAAGACAAAGGCACCCCTATATCCATACAGACGATTGGGGAATCTGCTGTTAGTGAGCCCCTATGAAAGTCTGGCACGGCACTGAGGCCGCTTTAGATATAATTTTCCACTCTCCACTGTGGCCGAGAACACACGAACACACAGACACAAAGACAAATACACACAGAGCTAAGGACACACAAGCCAAAGACACACAGACACAGATACTGATGTCGTGTAAAACCAGTGAGATAAAGCGGGGCTCTACGGGACCAGTGAGAGTGCACACAGACCCGGCTGGTTCACACGCGGAGGCACGGATCCCTTAGGCTGTGCACTCCTCACGCCTATTCACGGGCAGCAGGGCACAGCAGCAGTGGGCACACGGGGCGCGTGCCCAGAGCGAGCAGCGCGTGGCTGAGGCCTCGCTCTCTGTAGACGTCATTCGGGAATGGGGAATCATGGTAACCACAGGGGCAGAAGAGGCACAGTCGTCACTGTGCACACAGTCGACGCGTGTGCTGTGGGTCATTTAAAGATCGGTAAACCGAGTCGCAGTATACCAATTGTTTCAAAGTCATCTCAAAGACAGTGGCGTTTTAGTTTCGTGCTGGATACTGAATTTTGCGAGAAAACGATAGTTTTTAATAGCTTGAAAAAATTGTGACATCGTGTTAAGACAATGGGCAATAATTGGAGCTACGCGTTAAGTCACTGCACATGTGGCGCCGAGTGGCGCTCAGTTGGCCTCTTCCTCCACCGTCGGACTCCACTCCTCCTCCCTTACCTGTTCCGTGCCAACGTAAGCAGCCTGGCCCAGGCACCGCTCCCCGCCTCCCAGAACCCCTCCACCGTCTCGCGTGCGTGACCGCTAAATACAAATTTGGAAAGGCCAAGAGGGCAAACTCCAGCCACTGTGCTCTTATAGTGATAAATAATAAACATTCCTATTCCACACAAAGGCAAGCAAGGAAATATGCAATTCACAATGTAGGCGACACAATTATTACACAGATTAATTAAAAACTACTTTCTTTCGACCTGAGAAGAAACATTTTTTTTCCAGAGACTATTTTAGTTTATTTCTCTCAGCGAGATATTAATGTAATTACGATTATAATGACCAAGGAAGGAAGATGTTCACCCTTCTATAATTAAGCCATTTTGTTCCAAGCGAATGTAAGCGGCCATGGGGCAATGAACCGTATCTCTCGAAGCGATGGAGAGCTGGGATCGAAATAAAAAAATATATTTACTGGAGAGGCGCTGGAGCCGTCTCAGGAGGAGAGGGAGGAGCGGATAGAGTGAGACCGCGAGTCGTGGAGAGGCACAGAACAGTCGGAGCGGAGAGACGCAGAGGAGACGCAGAAGGGGAGACGCTCCAAACACAGATGCGGAGACACGGGTGGATGGACAGACACGCGGAGGTGAACAGACACCGGTCCCGGACACACAAACCGAGCGAGTCACACGCATTGATTGACACGGGTGCCACTCCTTCTGCCGATCCACTGCTGCATGAGGGCCACCGCACTCCGCGTGGGAGGTGGGGAGGCCCTCAACGGCCACACGGTCCGACAAGCCCGGGAATAAGGCCCGGACGAGCACTGAGATATATCGACAGGCAAAACCTCGATGCACATTTAATATTTTTTTCAATTTAATGTGTTATTTCCATGTCTGCATTTGCTCATTTATTATATTATTCGCTGTCTCACGTAGAGCGAGAGGGGACGACTCAGAGCCACGAGGAGGAGCCACAGACGAACGGGAAGGCGCAGCAGCCATGCGATGAGGAGCCGGCGCTACCAACAATTATCTCAGCTCTGCGGTCCTCTATATATGAAGGTGTTACCGGCCAATTAATGATTAATTTACACGTGGGAGGAAATCGGAGCACCCGGAGAAAACCGACGCTTGCGAGCGAGGGAAAACACTATATCCCGTAGAAATGGAACAGGTGGAGTCCACGTGTTTGCAGTACGTACTGCCTTCTCGTGGCGAGCAAGGTCATGATATCCCATCAACGCCCACGGGAAGGGAGTTTCGCAACTTGTGTGAGCCACCAACCGTTGCTTGTTTCCACAGTGCTGGATCACACGACACGTCGCCACAGCACTCACACTACCCTCGACTACAACTGCTCTACAATGCACACCACGAGAGTTGAATGGTCAAACAGAAACTATTCCTTTGTCTCACAATAGCAATTACTAACATTCCTGTTCTGGCACTTGTAAAATTATGAGAATCAAGTTTAAACTCGAATCGGTGCAGCCAATTATGGTAGCAGCGTGGCCACGTGGGTACGTGGCCACGTGGGCACGCCACCAGCCCTCTACCCAGCCAGACGGCGTCTCACCTCGCGGTGGCTAAAAACCTCACTTTGCGCATGGTTGCGTTGCACACAGGTAACATGTGTGAGGCGTAACATGCGTGTGGTGTTCGGCATGATTCGTTTTAATAATGAAAGGGGGTTTAATACGTTTGTCTATTTCTACTGAAAAGTCGTTTCAGATGAAATTCGTTTCACCCTGACAATCGCGATGAATATTCTTCAAATGTAATTTGAGCGGCTCATAATTAATTTACATGTTTAAAATACATTGATGTGATATTTAAAATGTTCGTCTTACAATATTAGTTGGAAAGGAAATAATACATGCATACAATACATCCATCCATTCATTGGTAACTTGAACTGTCTCTTTCTGGTTTAAATCGAGCACCTGGTGCGGCTGGTAACGATCGGCCGCCGTAGTTCGCTCGAGACATCTGGAGCAGCAGATGACCGGCAATAATCACATTTGGATTACATTTGGATTACATTGTCATCGGGAAGCAGCTCGTGGAGTTGAGGCAATAGCGATCCCCCGAAGAGAACCCAGGAACTCCGCATCGCCCGTAATGATGAGCACACACGCGCGCGCGTGCCCTTCATATAATCAGCAGCAGCACCATCAGCAGCTATGATCTCTCCACTGCTGGGTGAAGGTCACCTAAGCCGTCGTCATTTTGCACGACCTTGTGCGAGTTCATGGCCCCTTCTCCTCCACAGGGAGCGATCTCTCGAGACGAGTTCCCTCTATGGCTGGGACTCTCTCATGAATCTCGACCGCCGGCCATCGGTCATTTGGACGACGCGCGCTGCCCAAGCCGAATTGCTTTTGGAGCGGTAACCTCGACGCCTCTATAACATGAACATCCCAGGCTACGTGTTCCTCTTTCTGTCTCTCTAATTCCAAGCACACAGTCACACACCTCTCCACACTTCTGTGTGCACTTGTTCGCACGTTTCGTCATGTATTTTCTGATTAACCGTATTCCAATCCAAATAAAAACATCTCACTGAGCATTCGCAAGTTGTGACTGTGCGCGCGTGTTTCGCGGTGACTTCGCGACCTCCTCCTGATTCCTCGCTCTATAGCGGCATCTGCACTGCCTACCCGCGTGGTGTGACGTAGCACTGGGCATATGGTCAGGTATTCGAGCAAGGGATCACGTGGAGGGACGGGTCCTCCAATGCCTCCGCTCGAGAGGGTCGGGGGAGATTGCAGGGGGAAGGCGCACGCCTTGGGCATCATCGAATCCTCGTGACGCGGACGCGTGACGCAGCGTTCCCGTCGTGGTGCGCTCAGAGCGGTATCGATTCCGCCGCGTGACCCACTGCGGCGCAAGGCTGTGGGCACAGGCGAAGTCAAGCAGAAGGCACAAAGCAGACACTCTGGGATCGCAGGCAATGAGCCGAAACGCCCATACGTTCCATCCCATTGACCAAAATCTGCTGAAGATGCGCCCGTAGCGAAGAGCAACGGAGACGACCGGGGAACTCGACAGGCCCGGCTGATGGATGCGCTGTAGTAAAGCCACCCTGGTGGCGTGCAGGTGAGGAGCGTCGCCTGAGCGGACCGCAAGCGTCAGCGCCTCCGTGCAGGGGAGAGAGACGCGGCAGCCAAAGTGAGACTCGAATATAACCTGGCCCAAAGGGAGCAGCCCCGCCTCGTTACTAAAGTTGTGTGGGAGTTCTCTCTTGCACTGACGGGCAAAGACAAAGATCCCCGTTCACACACTTGGGGCATTTCTTGACTTAATGTGCTGTTAGCTAGCACGTATGAAGGCCGGCATGGCACACGAGGTGGTGGGTGGTCAACACCACGCCCGGTCGCCCTTGTCTCCCTAGTGGCAACATTTACACACTGCACTAGGTACTCATTTGAGGCTCACTGTATTAGCCGTAAGCGGGAATCGAACTTGAGTCGCCGGGTTTGTAGCGTAGCGTAGCGCTAACCGCTACACCACCGCTCCCTACGGGCACTCCTGGTGAGACCTGTACTGCTGATGTTCAGAATGCACCGAACCATTCTGCCATGTTGTTATCCTACTGCCGTGTCCATCTAAGACGCTTTTTATCCAGCCACGAAGTACTGCCCATGGTTCGCACCTCCATCGTCCTCGCCAGGTCGCTGTCTCGAGACCGCTCCGTCATGCAGCCTCGTGCGAGCCACCCGAGTGGAGTCGTCATTGCTGGGCATTGCCTGTGATTGAAGTAAACATTAAAAAAACACATCAAATTAAGTATCACCTGTAATGTCATCATGGAGCAATACAAACCGTGACCCCTACCTTGTCTCCTGAACTTCTGCGTAATTCCTATGCAGGGGTCGAGTGATGGTGCTATGGCCAGCACACTGCGCTATGAACTTCATAGCTACTGAGACGCAATTCCCGGCCACGGCTAAACCAACCACTGTGAACACCCTGGGCACTGTAAACATCCCAGGCACTATGAACACCCCAGGCACTGTGAACACCCAGGCACTGTGAACACCCAGCTACTGTGAACACCCCAGGCACTGTGAATGCCCCAGGCACTATGAACACCCCAGGCACTGTGAACACCCCAGGCACTGTGAACATCCCAGGCACTATGAACACCCCAGGCACTATGAACACCCAGGCACTGTGAACACCCAGACACTGTGAACACCCAGGCACTGTGAACACCCCAGGCACTGTGAACACCCCAGGCACTATGAACACCCCAGGAACTGTGAACACCCCAGGCACTATGAACACCCCAGGCACTGTGAACACCCCAGGCACTGTGAACACCCCAGGCACTGTGAACACCCCAGGCACTATGAACACCCCAGGCACTGTGAACACCCCAGGCACTATGAACACCCCAGGCACTGTGAACACCCCAGGCACTGTGAACACCCCAGGCACTGTGAACACCCCAGGCACTGTGAACATCCCAGGCACTGTGAACACCCAGGCACTGTGAACACCCCAGGCACTGTGAACACTCCAGGCACTGTGAATACCCAGGCACTGTGAACACCCAGGCACTGTGAACACCCAGGCACTGTGAACACCCAGGCACTGTGAATACCCAGGCACTGTGAACACCCAGGCACTGTGAACACCCCAGGCACTGTGAACACCCAGGCACTATGAACACCCCAGGCACTGTGAACACCCGGGCACTGTGAACACCCCAGGCACTGTTTCTCACAAAGCAGTATTTATTTGATCAGTCCTGGAGGATGATAATCTGAGTCGACCCCCACTCTGGATTTGACGCCACAGCGACTCCTGACTCAGTGGGGCATCCGCAGCTCCCAGAGCAGAGTGCGGGGAGCGCGATGTGCAGACGGCCTGCCGCTGGCCCGTCGTGGGGAGTGGTGGCGCAGTGATCAGCGACGCACCGCGCTACGAACCCAGCGGCCCGAGTTCGGTTTCCGCTGAGCGCTATTATCGGTGACGAGTTTGTGAGCCGACTCTCCTAGGTCGGCTCAGCCTTTTGTGAGTATTGCACCTGGTTGCGATTTGTAAAGATCAGCCCGGGGGGGGGGGGGCGTGGTGCGGGCCACCCACCCCCTCGTGTGCCCTCCCGGCCTTAATAGGTGCTCGCTGACAGCACTTGCCCCAACAGTTTGTTAAGGGTTCACGGGGGACATTTGTATTTGTGTGAGTTTGCCCGCGTGTGTGACTCCATCCATGCCGCGTCCTAGCATGTGAATTTAATTACGTAAGTGCATTTGAAAGGCAGTGCGTGGCTGTGTGTGTGGCTTTGTGTGATTGTGAGTGTGGGGCTGCACTTACATAATTGCGTGTGCCTGTGTAAGGGATCCTATTTGCTCACCTATCGGTGTGTGTGTATCGCTGTCTTTGTGTGGCTGTGTGTATGTGTGCCTGTCTTTGTTTCGACGTGTGTGTGTGGCTGTGTATGTGTGTGACTGTCTTTGCGTGGCTGTGTTTTTGTGTGGCTGTGTGTGTGGCTGTGTGTGGCTGTGTTTGTGTGGCTGTGCTGTGTGTGGATGTGTGTGTGGCTATGTTTGTGTGGCTGTGTGTGTGGCTGTGCGTGTGTGACTGTCTTTGTGTGGCTGTGTTTTGTGTGGCTGTGTGTGTGTGTGGCGGTCTTTGTGTGGCTGTGTGTGACTGTGTGTGTGGCTGTCTGGTCTGTCGCTCCGCACTAAGCTTCCGGTCTTCTCGGCCACGGTCATTCCCTCTCTTCTCTACGCTTGCGAAACGTGGACCCCCCTAATGGAACATCTTCGCCGGTTAGAAACATTGAGGCTAGCCTGCCTACGATCCATCCTGGGTTTAACCAGGCTAGATTGTGTGAGAAGCTCACAAATCCTTGGAAGATCTGGGTAAGGTCCCATCGGTGAGCTACTCCGGCAGGCAAGGCTGCGTTGGTTGGGTCATGTAGCCCGCATGCCCAGCCACCGCATGCCGAAACAGCTTTTGTTCGGCCGGATCGAGGGGGCTAAACGGGCGCGGCACGGGCTAGAGAAGAGATGGAGTGATGTGGTACAGGAGGACGTGGAGCTCAGTGGACTTGCCGATGACTGGTACCAGCGGTGTCAAGATCGGCCTCTGTGGAGGAGGCTCGTGAAGGACGCTACTAGGCAGTTGGAGGCAGTCGCCCTCCAACAACAACGGAGGGCGGAGGAGCGCCGGGTGGCTAAAGCACAGCAGGTTGGCACAGTAGGGGGCACAGGTGGTGCATCAGCCAGTCATCTCAGTCATCTTAGTCAGTCGACCCATGGCACTTGGGTCTGCCCCGTGACCTCCTGCCAGCGGGCGTTCGACACTTCACGTGGCCTCAAGATGCACATGGCCTGGCACAAGCGTCGTGGTGACGTCACCGCCACTTAGTGGCGAATGGCGGTTGTTGTTGTGGCTTTCTTTGTGTGGCTATGTGTGTATAGCTGTGTGTGTGCCTGTGTTTTGTGTGGCTGTGTGTGTGTGGTCGTGTGTGTGGCCGTGTGTGTGGCTGTGTATGTATGCGCCTGTCTTTGTGTGGCTGTCTTTTTTTGTGTGGCTGTGTGTGTGGCTGTGTATTTGTGTGATTGTCTTTGTGTGGCTGTGTTTTTTGTGTGGCTGTGTGTGTGTGTGTGGCTGTGTGTGTGTGGCTGTGTGTGTGTGTGTGGCTGTGCATGTCTGTGCCTGTCTTTGTGTGGCTGTGTTTTTTGTGTGGCTGTGTGTGTGGCTGTGTGTGGGTGGGTGTGTGTGGATGATTAAAGACTCCCTTGCGGTGCGCACACACTCAGCAGCCACGGCAGCTGACAGTGCAAAACCGTCTCGCTGACTGCAGGAAACGGATCGCGCGTTAACCCTTGGCGCAGCGCAGGAACTGCAAGGACCGCATTGACAATGAGGACGGGAGTCTTCAACCTTGAGATTCGACTCGCTCCACTGGGGGCTTGGCCCGCCTGGCAAGCTCCCAGCCGGCGCGTGGTCTGTGCCGTGCGACTGCTCACAGGTCACCCCTGTTGCAATGCACTTGCCGATATAAATAATAATAATATTATTATTATGTCTCTTGTAATCAAGTAAACGAGTTTGATATGTCGAGAGTGGTTCACATTTCAACAACATTAAAGCACTTTGGGTGTTCATATGGAATATGTGAGTGTATTAAAATGTAGAGAGGCGGTATGTGTCTAACATGTAAAATGTGTGTTAAATGTGCAGCCTGTTTAAAGTGTGGTTGGGCACGACCACCCACGTGTACACACTACGCATGAACGCAGTCATTGGGAAGTGAACATCACCACCACCACCACCGCAATGCGCCACGAGACTGCGACGACGTGGGGAGGACTTCATCCAGCAGTGGATAGACCACTCAACGGCTGATTAATGATGCTGATGATGTCACGCCCAAACAGAAGGGAACAGCTCCTGGTGCCAGGGCTGCCGAGGCTTGGCAGGCAGCAGCAATGAGCTCCAACTGAGGGGGTGTATATCCCAGGCAGTGGCAGCTCGCTCAACCCACTCGTTTCTTGAGAACTGCTTTTTGTGCTTAGCTCCTTCCGCACATCCGATTAGCACGGTTGGT